TCCATATCTACTCAATATAATATTTGAAGTTCTATCTAGATCAATAACACAATGAAAGGAGATCAAGGGGATACAAATTGGAAAAGAAGTCAAACTTTCACTATTTGCAGATGATATATAGTATACATAAGTGACCAGAAAAATTCTACCAGGGAACACCTACAGCTGACAAACACCTTCAGTAATGTGGCAGAATATAAGATTAACTCAAAAAAATCAGTAGCCCCACTATATACAGACAATAAAGGGGCTGAGAAAGAAATCAGAGAAACATCACCCTTTACAATAGCCACAAATAATATAAAATATCTTGGGGTAACTGTAACCAAACAAGTGATAGACCTGTATGACAAGAATTTTAAGTCTTTGAAGAAAGAAATTGAAGAAGATATTAGAAAATGGAGAGATCTCCCATACTCTTGGATAGGTAGGATCAACACAGTAAAAATGGCAATCTTGCCAAAAACAATCTACAGATTCAAAGCAATCCCCATCAAATTCCCAGCACAATTCTCAGCACAGACCTCAAAAGAACAATATTCAACTTCATATGGAAAAACAAAACACCCAGGATAGCCAAAACAATTCTGTTCAATAAAGGAATTTCTGGGGGCATCACCATCTCTGACTTTAAGCTCTACTATAGAGCTACAGCAATAAAAAAAAAAAAAAGCTTGGTATTAGCATAAAAACAGACACATGGACCAATGAAATCAAATTTAAGACCCTAATACTAATCCACACACCTATGAACACCTGATTTTTGACAAAAAAAAATGGTACAATAGAAAAAAGAAAGCATCTTCAACAAATGGTGCTAGCATAACTGAATGTCAACATGTAGAAGAATGCAAATAGATCCATATCTATCTCCATGCACAAAATTAAAGTCCAAGTGGATCAAAGACCTCAATATATATCCAGTTACACTGAACCTCTGCAGAAAAAAAGAAGAGAAAGTGGGAAGTAGCACAGGAGACCACTTTCTGAATATAACACCAGTAGCACAGACTCTGAAAGCAACAATCAATAAATGGGACCTCCTGAAACTGAGCAGCTTCTGTAAGGCAAAGGACCCTGTCAATAAGACAAAAGAGCAGCCTACAGAATGGGAAAAGATCTTCACCAACCTCACTTCTGACAAAGTGCTGTCAGATGTGTGTGCATATATATTATAAAAACATATTATATGATAATATATAATATATAAATGAGACACCAAAATACCAAATAATCCAATTAAAAAATAGGGTACAGATCTAAATAGAGAATTCTTGATAGAAGTTCAAATGACTGAAAGATATTTAAGGGATGGTTTAACATCCTTAGCCATAAGGGAAATGCAAATCAAATCGACTCTGAGATACCATATTACCCCTATCAGAATGACTAAGGTCAAAAACAATGATGACAGCTTATGCTGGAGAGGATGTGGAGTAAGGAGAAGACAACTACATTGCTGGTGGGATTGTAAGCTTGTATAGCCACTTGGTAAATCAGTATGGCAGTTTCTCATAAAATTGGGAATCAATCTTCCTCAAGACCCAGCAATACTACTCTTGAGCAGACACCCAAAGGATGCACACTCATACCACAAGGACATTTGTTCAACTGTGTTCATAGCTGCATTATTTGTAATAGCCAGAACCTGGAAACAACCTAGATGCCCATCAACCAAAGAATGGATAAAAGACAAACATGGTATGTTCTCATGCATAAGTGGATATTAGATGTAGAACAAGGGATAACAGCTCCAGAGAAGTTAGGCAAAAGAGGGACACACATGGAGGGCCCAGGAAGGGAAAATAGTTAAGATCTCCTGGGTAAACTGAGAGGAAGGTGTAAGGGAGAGGATGGAGGATGGGAACATGAGGCATTAAGAAGACCCAATTTGGGAAGGAATGGAGGGGGAGAGCAATGAAAAAGATATCTTGATAGATATGGGGTTCAGGAGAAACCTGGGGCTAGAGGAATTCTCAGGAATCCACAAGGATGACTCCAGCTAAGAATCCTAGCAATAGTGGAGAGGGTGTCTCAATAGACCTTTCCCTTTAAACAGATTATCATCATAGAACCTACATCCAGTAACTGATGGAAGCAGATGCAGTGGCCCACTGGGTAGAGCTCCTAGAGTTCATTTGAAGAGAGAGAGAGAAGGGATCATATGAACAAGGGGGGTCTGTAGTGAGATATTCACTTTGTCCACATCTGTGGCACTGACCACGCCCATTGGGGGATGGAGACAGAGAAAGAAGTGACCTGGGGGAACTAGGGCTGAGGAGGAGCCCAGGAGTGCTCTCTTGCTTGCAGCACACAGACAGGAGAGCATCCTTGGGATTATGAATCTGCTGGTGTTCATCTGTCTATGTTGTAAGTTAATTCTCCCTGAATAAACATCTATTCGGCCTATTTGTTTATCCTGATCCTTATTAAACCACGATATCTGGTGTCAGAAGTGGGATCAGGATTTTCACAGGACCTGGGTTTCACCTAGGCGGCAGACGCCGCTCCCTTCCCCTACCATTCCTGAACAGGCAGGGTCTCTTGGCTAACCAGGTGAACACACCGCAGCTTGTGAGATGTTTGTGTCCGCCCTACAACTCCTTTATCTCCACAGTGGCCCTGAGACCACTGCTCATCTTCTGCCCATTCCCTCACATTGCATTCACACAGAGCCCTGCAATGCCTGCCCTGCTCGTGTGTTCCCGTGCACAGCCCGGCCTCTGGGCCTGCCCTGCATGTGTGTTCCTGCGGCCTGGCGTTGCCTGTTAACAGTTGCCTGTTAACCCTTCAGTAAGTAGCCTTGTCCTCTGCATTAGTTCCTTTCTTAAGTCAATGTCCTGGCTTCCCTGAATGATGGATTGCACACTGTAAGCTGAAATAAACCCTGTCCTCCAAAAGTTGCATTTGCTCATAATTTTTTATCATGGCAATAGAAGTCCTATTTAAGACAGAAATCAACAACACACATGGATCAGCTAGTTCAACACCTGGGAAAGCAAGTTGTGGAAGGCAGATGGCAGGAAACACCAGCTAAAGGAACCAAAGGAGAAGTTGGTGAAGGACCTCAAGGTCAGCCATCTGAGAAAGTACAAAGTTCCTAGATGCAGGAGCTGACCAACAAGGCCAAGATAGGCAGTATGCCTTAAGATGTTACAGAGAGTGAATTAGGCCAGTAAAAAAGGCAGGTGTTGGAACCTGCCACTTTCCCCATCAACAATAGCCCTGCCTATAACTAATGTTTAGACACTTCCTCTAAAATGAAACACTGTATACTAGAAGGGGGCTTCTTAAGGCTTAGAAAGCAGGGGCTGGAGAGAGAGATGGCTCAGTGTTTAAGAGCATGTTTTGCTCTTGCAGAAAACTACAGCTCAGTTTCCAGAACCCACGTATACAATCATCTGTAACAATGGTTCCAGGAGAGCTAATAACCCTTCTGGACCCCTAGGACACTAGGCACACATGTGGTGCACATTTCACATACACAAGCAAGACAGTCACACACATAAAATAAAAGAACCTATATTTTTTTCAGAGGCAGAAAGTAAACAAAACTTACAAGCCTCAGGAATTAAATTCATAAGTCTACAGAAGTTCTGAAAACTTCCAAGGCTTGCAAGATTCCCATGGTCTTATAAGATGGGGTTGGGGAGAGACTTTCCAACTAGCCAACGTGCCTGGGAATCAGAACTGGAGCTCCAGGAATGCAGCTCTCAATAGGCTGCCACAATGGGAAGGCTTTTCTGGTGATGATGCAATTGCCTCTGAGTCATTTGTGTTCCTATAGGTAAATCAAACAAATGCATTCATTTGCAAAGTCGGACTTTGGTGGAATTATTACTGTAGTCTGCCATCAGTTCCCCATCTGAGGTGAACAGGCATTTGTTCACCTCTCCCCCAGGAAGTCACACAACTGCTGGCCACCCCAGTAACCTCAAGCTAAAGTTCAGATGAACTTTGACCTAAATCAGAACTGAGAATGGTGAGGAAAGGAGGGAATAATAAACCAACCTGCAATCAGTAGGATCAGCAACAAACAGGGCAGACAAGCTCCATGTAAATAAGTTGCCTTTGATTATGTTCCAATCCCAGCTCTTATCTTGACTCAGATGTGACCTGGGCCACTTCTTAATGTCTCTAAACCTTGACCCCTCAGACTAAAGGAAAGATAAAAGGACAGTGTCTTAGGAGGTCATAATTCCTCCTGAACGGAGGCAGGCAGTAAGGAAAGGGCTATACCAATGGAGAAAGAAGACAAAGAAGAGGGCACATGGACCGAAACCCTGATGACCACACTTGTTTGTGAGTGACTACTCTCCAATGCAAGCAACTGCCATCTTGGGACATTCAGCTGCACCCACTGCAAAAAAAAAAAAAAAAAAAAAAAAATCCCATTTGGGCTTGTTGAAGGTTAACACCCCCAAATGGAGGGTGGAGAGGGCATGAGATTCTCACCTGAGTATCTCACTCACCCCTATAACCTGTGAACACAATTCCACCTTGATTGGTAAGGGCTACAGAAGAGCATTTGTCCCCCTCTGGCTAAAGTTTTTCAGGTACAGCCTGTTAGGAGGGAGGGGCACCCACACCCCTGCAAATAACCTCACCTATGCTCTGTAAAGGAACAAAGAAACTCCTTGGTTCCCCAGAGTGAACTGGTGGAATTGTGCTTTGGTTTACTATTAGGGCCTTGGGAGGAGGGGTAGATGTTGCTTATGTCTCTCCTAAGAAGGGATTTTAGCAAAAACACTATTTCCCAAATAATGTGCAGATTGTAAGCTCTCCCCTGGGTTAGTTTCCCACTAGGTCCCAGGACTCCCTAACTCTGGAGTTCTTGGTCGTACAAGTGACATATGACATAGAAACCAATGAGATGATGTAGATTCTGTGGGTGACAAGATATTTATTGAGAGTTAGGCATAGAAGAGGGAGTGGAATGGCGAGTGGGATGGTGAGTGGCAAAAAAGACTTTTCTGGCAATTCACATCCACGCCCCTGAGTCTTCACTGGGGATCAGGGTCTAAGAACACTCAGCAGGTGACATGCTCTTCTCCACGGTGCTCCCTTCATGAGTGACCTGGCAGCTGTATCTGCTGTGAGATGGCCACTGGTGAGATGCCAGTGTCAGGTAGCTGCTGGCCATGTACTTGTTGTTGGTCTGTTTGGAGGGTTGGGTTGTCTCTACACCCTTCGTGACAGGGATTCCATCTACTTTCCAGTTCACCACCAAAGTACCTGGGTAGAATTCGCTCACCAGACACACCAGTGTGGCCTTGTTGGCCTGGAGATCATTCATGGAAGACAGGAACAGGGTGACCAAGGGGTCAGACTTGGGCTGACCTGTGCAGATAGAGAAGGTGAAGTGAGATGTCACAAGAGAGCCCAACCTTGTCTTAACAGCTTTGTGGCCAATTGTGATATCATCAGAGTGATCCGTCCTGGGACCTGCTTCCTTCTTCCTCTCTATCCACTCAAGTTCCCTAAAGAGCAGATAGCCTGGCACTTCGTTAGGTGACCTGACCCAGACTCATCTCCTTGCAACCTCAGTTGCCCCCCCACCCCCGTGGCCAAGGCCGACTGTACTCCCATTTCCCGGTAGCTAGAATCTAAACTGGGATCTGATCCTGTCCAGTTCCGCACCTCCACTACTTCTCCAATGCTCAGAGCCTCCTCTGTGAATGGGAATACTCATTTATTCTAGAAGGTTGGTCCTGGGAAGTTGATCTTGAGGTGTGCCTGGCTGGTTAAGGGCTCTGGAGCTTGTGCTCCAGATCATTCAGTTATTTCACCAGGAATTAGATTCCATCCAGGAAAACCCCAGTAACTCCACCAAGGACCCATAATTTGTCTACAGTGGTTACCAGATGATAAGACCCTGCATTGGCTATGTTCCTGGGGCTCCATCTCCCAGACTATGATGATAGCAACCCCCACCCCCGCGAGAATCCCAGAAGTCTCTGGTGACTCCTGATTTCATTTGGCACATTTGCTCCTTCATTCTTCATCTAAGTCTAAGGACATCTAAGGAAGATGGACAAGTGAAACACCTAGACAAGTTAGCCACCGGCCCTAAGCCTGAGAGAGAGAAGGAACAACAGACAGTCTACATTTTTCCTAGTAATCATCCTGGGAGAATCAGGTTCTAGCTACCTTGTCACTCTGGGCTTTTTCTGTGTCCCCATGACCTCATGGACCAGCAGAAGATTAAAGAAAGAACTGCAGCCTAGACTGAGCCAATCCCTCTCTCAGCCTCCAAGGTTTTCTACCCAGAGTGACCTGAGCTTTGAAGGCTGGGTTCATGTCACCAGTCATATATGTGGCCCAGATATGTGTCCTTTTCAGTCTTAATGCACATCTGGGCCTCAGTTCAGGTGCTGGGCCTCATGGTCTTTAAGCCCTTGAATCCTATTGGGCATCTGTCTCAGAAGAATAGCTGAAGCTATTGAAGCCCTTTCTGTAAGGCTAGAGAAGTAAGATGGAAAGAACCCCTACAGAGAACAGACTTTTCTCAGACAGTTGGATCATGAGCTCATGAGAGCCACTTACCTAGGACTGTGAGCTGGGTCCCACCACCAAAGATATACCACGACTGTGGCTTAGATGTAAACCCATGGGGCCAGCATCTAGGCCCTGTTCCCCGTGGGATGGCCTGGAATCTGTTGAGTGAGACAGGCACAGGCAAATGAACTATGGCATTGGCAGAAAGTAAATGGACAACCAGCTATCCATCTGCCACTTTCAACTCTGAAATTTTCAGTGTTGATAGCAACACCAGGCCCAGAAGATTCTCAGAAAATTCCTAGATGGGTGTGGTGGAACAAGGAAGTTTTGTGTGTGTGTGTGTGTGTGTGTGTGTGTGTGCATGTGTGTTTGTGTCTTTTTACAGTGACTAAATCTTTTCCATACCAGTACCTTGTGATCTATCCAAACTGGCTTCCTTCCAGGACCCAAACACACTCTATTATGGAAATTCCAATGTTTTTATTTCTATCATGAGACTTTCTCTGATCTTCCAAGCTACTTTTTCTATGGAGTCATGTGTGCATCCATTGTACTGACTAGTCTTATGTCAATTTGACAAACTAGTTGCCTGAAAGGAAGGAACCTCAATTAAGAAAATGCCTCCATAAGATCTAGCTATAAGGCATTTTCTTAATTAGTGATTGATGTGGGAGGGTCCAGCCCATTGTGGGGGTTTCCATTCCTCGGGTGGTGATCCTGGGTTCTATAAGAACCCTATAGCTGAGAAAGCCATAGGGATCAAACCAGTTAATAGCACCCCTCCATAGCCTCTGCATCAATCAGCTCCTTCCTCCAGACCAGTGACTCTGCAATAAACACTTGCAAGTAAAGATGTATGGACAAAAGGTATATTGTGTGACTCATTGTGTCACACTGCAGCTTCCATGATGAGACCTTTTTTTCTTATTTTTTCTTCTCTCTGTTTTCCTCTCATTGTTTTCTCTTAAATTTTATTTTATTTTGTTTTATTTTAGGGGAATATAGCAAAGGCCGAGGGCAGATACAAAGGGCCAGGGACATGAATGGGATCAAGATGCATGACATACATACATACATACATACATACATACATACATACATACAAAGAATAATAAAATGTTTTTGAAGAGTTACCATGGTCATGGTATCCATTCACAGCAATAGAACCCCTAGCTAAGACACAATGCTTCCACCCTATTTGTTTCTCATGGTAGGGACATGACAGGGGTCCCTCCCTTGGCCCTACCTCCATTTCCTATAACACCTCTCAGGACAAGGCTCACAAAACCCTCATCATGGTCAAGTCCAAGGTCATCCACCCAAGCAATTTGTCCATCTTTCCTGTGTCTCTCTTCACTCAAGCCACACAGTCTCCTCCCTTCCTGGCTTCCCTTTCTCCCCACCCCATGCATGGCTGCTGGTTCAAAGCCAATCTGTGGGTCCTCTGCCTCTGCTATCTTCCCATATAGTACTTCTATTACTACCGCTGAACTGAAGCAAAATCTGTTCAAGCTGTGAATCTTCTCTGTTTCACTTAACTGGTCTGTCAGCCATCTTTAACCATGTTGCCAATAGGAAACTCAAACTCATTGTGTCCAGACAAGTGAACCTGACTCCATCAGTTCTTTCCATCTTTGAAATAACCTGTTTCTTCCATATCAGAAGTTCACAGAGACTGTGTCTAAAGATCCTCTTTGAGCTAAAAACAAATCTTAGGATATTTAAGGAAAGGTTTCTGAGAATCCAAACCAACAAGAAACCCCAGTTTTACCTAAGATAATGTGAATTACTGATTCAGTTTCTTATGTGGTTAAGCTCTGGGTTGGTGCTAATTGGATGCAGGCATCTCCAATTGGGGGGTTGGACTACTACATTTCTACCTTATAAATTACTTCTATTATAAGGAATAGTACGTTTTTTTAGGATGCAAAATTATTTTTGGCTTAAAAATCCTTATTACCTCAAAATTATTAGAGCATAAAACAATTAAGCAAATATAAAGGCAAAAATTGTGGTAAAATATCCACAGCAAGCCAGACTCGGTGGCAAATGATAGTAATGCAAGCCTGTGGGATTGAGACAGGATCATGAGTTTGAGATCAGTCTGGACTATGTAGGAAGACAGTATTTTTTCCATTTATATCATCTTTACCTTTTCTGTTCAATGGCATTAATATGTACTCATACTGTCGTGGACCTTTCCCCCATCATATAGCTTATCTGTACTCATTAGGCAATAACTTCTCATTCCCCACCACCTGCCCCATGTCACATTGACACTGCCCTCTCTACGAGTCTACACATGTGAGATACTCTGTGAGTGGAATCAGTGTTCATCCTTCTGGGTCAAACTTATTTCCTAAACATAATGTCTTCAAATTTCTTCCACATTGTAGAAGATTGCTGGATTTTATTCTTTATTAATTAATACAAAATAGATTTCAAAATAATTAACAATTGCAACCTACTATCACCTACTAAAAGTCATTCAAATTTGTTTCTCAGAAACAAAGTAATTCTTACAGTATGGCTGGAAGACATTTACATGACCAGCAGTTGTGCTGGCTAGTAACAGTCATCGGAGAAGAGGGAACCTCAATCGAGAAAATGCCCCCATAAGATCTGGCTATAGGAAAGTCTATTGGGCATTTTCTTAATTAATGTTTGATGTGGAAGGGAAGCCCATTGTGAGTGGTGCCATCCCTGAGGATGTGGTCCAGGGTTCTATAAGAAAGCAACCTGAGCAAGCCACAGAAAGCAAGCCAGTAAGCAGTATTCTTCTGTGGCCTCTGCATTGGTGTCTGCTTCCTGGTTCCTGCCCTGCTTGAGTTCCTGTCCTGATTTCCTTTAAATGATAAACAGTGATATGGAAGCATGAACTGAATGAACACTTTCCTCCCCAAATTGCTTTGATCATGATGTTTATAACAGAGGTATTTACCAGATTCTTCAAAAGTGGTTATTTTTTGTGTCGTTCAGCCATATATGAATTTCAAGATGTTTGTTTGTTTGTTTGTTTGAAACAGGGTCTCACAATGTATTCTTGAATAACATGGAAATTACTAAATAGACCAGGCTGGCCTCTAACTCACAGAAATATGGCTGCCTGTGCTGAAACAAAAGGTATTTACCACAATCAGTCCTTTCCTTCCTTTCTTCTTTTCTTCCTTCCTTCCTTTTTTTTTTTTTTTTTTAATTTCCATAAGAAGAAATGTGATTAAATCTTGGTAGGGGTTACATTGAGTCTAGTCACTCTGGATAGCAAGAACACTCATGACTGACTTTCTAGCAAAGATGCCATAACAATTCAAGGTGAAAATTAACACTCAACAAATGGCTTAGACAAAAGGACAGACACTTCCCCGCCTCATACTGCACATATGAACTGATCAGAGATCAGAGCATAAGAGCTAAAACTTAAATGGTGGTGGCTAAATGAAAATGAATATGAAACCTAGTTTACAAAAGAAATTTGTAAACTTTGCCCCAAAGCTGCATACCTGGAAAGGAAAATGCCAGCAGATATGGATTAGGGATGCCATATCCAATGAGTCACTTACCACCCTGCAACCAAAAGTTCAGTGAATGCTTGCACCTTGGAAGCTGCAATTCCTAAGGCTTCTTTTCTCTTTTAGTGTCCCAAATACTAGAAGCTAGTTTTTATCTTCCAGGAAAGAGGCAGTAAGAGCCAGGTCAAGAAGAAATACCTAACAATGCTGATGCATCCTGCCAAATGGCCCAGCCAAGATCACACTGTAGTGAGGACCAAGTCTACTCTCCCCAGTGTTGTTAGTGTCCTCTGCACAATGTCCCATTCGCAAATAAAAGCAGACAACTAAAAACACTGTCACATACAGAGGAGGCTTCCAATAGGAAAGGGCAGGTTTTCACATCAGCATTACGTTTTTTAACACAAGAACTACAGATTTGTGTTTCTTCTTGTGTCATTTTGGTAGCTTGTGTTTTACATTTATTGGGACAGTATTTCTGACACATACCTTAGACTATAGCACCTATTGTGATGCCCTCCATCCTGTCACAAGTAATGATTTCCTTATCTGAAATTCGAAAATATTTCAGATTTGGGGTTTGTTTTTTTGTTTGTTTGTTTGTTTTTTGTTTTTTTTTTTTTTGTACATATCTGATCTGTGAGGAACAAGCCCCAACTCTAAACAAAAATGTAGTTATATTTGATATACACATTATACAATAGTCTGGAAGTATTTTTATACAACATTCCCAATGTGCCTATGTTTTGACTATGATGCCAAATATGCAGTTCTCCACATGCAGGGTCATGTTTGCACTTATAAAGCTTGGGTGCCACCACACCAACTCCAGTGGAGTCTGTGTGACATGGTGAAAACCATGTTTGCGAACCAGAGGCATCTGTTCCACAGAACTTAGTCTCCCAGTGGTTCCTGGCATCCTACCTCTATACTTTTTTCCAGTGCACTGATCAAATTCTGTGGATTTGGGTTCTGTACCTTACCTTTCTTGATTTTTATGGCTATAATTAATTCAACAGGTCCTGGCCAAGTCTTGGTGAATAGTGGATAGTGAAAGCATAAGAGTTCAGAAACTAGCAGGGAAAAGACCCAGGGAGTTCACCAGGAGCTAGGAAGAACAGTCTAGGAATTCCTACTATGATTTATGGTAGAAAGCATTACCTAATCAAAGGACGATGGTGGGCGCCTCCAGTAAACAGGGAAACTCCACAGAGACTCAGGACTATAATCCCTCCTATGCCTTATACAGAAGTATATGATGACCAGGGAAATAGATGGGTAAATATAGATGGAGAAAAGGTGTATTACACACTTAACTTCATGGAGAGATTAGCTACAGCAAGGCTTCCTTGGTGCTTATTGACAAAAAGGGACCAAATTAGTTTAACAAGGCAGTTGCAAAAATTATATGCTCACCTCCCCCAAAGATGAATAGAGGGGGCTTAAAAACAGCCAAATTGGCCTGACTGGCCATAAAAATAATAAGCTTTACACACTTCTGCATTTTTACATAGGAATCAGCTCGGCAGAATTCTAAGAATAAAATTGACCTCAGGTCTGAGACTATTAACCACTGTCTGGAGGCCAGATGGTACTCAGAGGGTACTTCCTTCTCTGTTCTTTTAGTTTCAAGATAAATTGGCAACATGTCACCACTCATCAGATGTGACTATGTATAACCTGGCATGGAGTCAAATCTTAGTTCCTAAATCATGTGTATATATCTGATGCTTTCACTGAAGAAAACTTACAGCAGATTCAAACTGCATCTCTGTATGTTGTGCCTGTCTGTCACTCGCTGAATCCTTACCGACCTGATTACTGGAGCCCTCGTTCTCCCACAGAGGAGACCCCTGACTGGGTCAGTCTGTGGCACTTGAGAGTTTGGAACATTTCAGATTATATATGCTCAACATATATGAACAATCATTTATAATTTTGCTTTTCTTTCTTCCATTTGCTTGATCATTTCTAATGTTTGTTCATCATGATTTAACAGAAATTTTTTAATATTTCATTAATTTTTTTCTTTAGCTATGATTATAAAAAGTGGACTTGATGGGGCTCAAGAGATGGCTAAGGGTAAAAGCACTGACTATTCTTCCAGAGGTCCTGAGTTCAATTCCCAGCAACCACATGGTGGCTCACAACCATCTGTAATGAGATCTGGTGCCCTCTTCTGACCTGTAGGCATACATGCATACAGAACACTGTATACATAATAAATAAATCTTTTTTTTAAAGTAGAGGTGCTGGAGAGATGGCTCAGCAGTTAAGAGCACTGACTGCTCTTCCAGAGGACCCAGGTTCAATTCCCAGCACCCACATGGCAGCTCACAACTGTCTGTAATTCCAGGTCCAGAGGATCTTCTACCTTCACACCAATGCACATAAAATAAAGTCAAATAAATAATTTTTAAGTGGGATTCTGCCTAGTAATAAAAGAATAAAATATTGATTTAAAAAAACAACTTGGATAAATTGCAAAAGTGTTACACTTGTCCAAAGAGGACAAGTTCAAGGGTTATATACACTGAGATTCCTAATTTTAAGAAGAGAAAACTACTTGCTATTCCTCCACCCACCTGATGAACATCCAGTGAATCAGGCTGAATGAAAACTATGCAGCGCTTCCCTCTATAGAACACAGCCATGGTGCAGCAGCTCATAGCAGACCATCTTATTTTCTGAGATGGATCTTGTACAGAACCTGGAGCCCACTGATTCAGCTAGACTAGATGGCCAGTGAGCCCTGGGGCTCACCCAAACTTACCTATACTAGAATTAGCAGCATGGTCCTACCTCCCACTGTTTGCATGCACACTGTGAGTCTTGTGTTTGAAGGGCAAGATCCTCTTGACTGAGCTACCTCCATGGCCCATTTCTACTCCCCTAGTCCCAAGACCCTTTCATAATATTTAATGAATGTTTTGATAATTATTTAAGAGTAAACTTCTAGAACTGCAATTACTTGACCGGATAAACACACACAGTTAATTCTAAATTAATTAAGATCATGACACACTAAAATGACTTAGGACCATGGGGAGTTTAAAAAGGAGGATGGCAAGTTCAAATCCTATCTATGCTGTAGAGCATAGATCAGCCTGGGGAAACTGGCAAGACCTTTACTCAAAAAAAAAAAAAAAAAAAAAAAAAAAAAAAAGTGGGGCTAAGGAAGTGGTTCATTGATAGAAAATTGACCTAGCATGAGCAGGGTTTAAACTGAGTTTAACCATCATTGGTCCAGAGGCCTCCTCTCGGGCAGATCCTTCCTTCTCACACCTCTGGCCTCAATGGCCTCTTCCTTCCCAGCCACCCATTTCAGCCTCCAGGCCATGGACCCACACACGTACATTCCCCCACAAGCAAGTCCCTTACCTGCCTGGCTGAGTCCACAGACTAGGCCTTCTGCTTCCCACTGAAGCTCCTGGGCCCATGGCTCTGCTCCTTTGTGCAGAGCTGGGAGAAAGTACATGCTGGACACCATCCACTAGGCCCAATAGCAGTAACAGAAGAACTTTGTGCTGCCTGGGGATGGTGCCCAGTGCCTGTCCTGTTCTGAACTTCATTGTCCCTCAAATCCAAAGTCAACTCTGACCCCACTTGCAGGGTAGGTTTCCTGGCAAAAGGCTTGTTCTTCCTCTGATGGCCAGAAACTATTCCAATGCAAATGGACCTGTGTAGCCACCAGCAGCAAGCACCCTCTAGTGCCCATGGCCCTCATTTGTGGAGGTCTTTCCCAGAGGGACATCTGCAAACTACCCTGTTGTGGTTGGGTTGTAAGCCACACCTGCCTGTCTAACCCCATCCCTGGAGCTCTGGGTGGCTCCGCTTGACTGATATAGCCTGGTCTGTGAAGCAAGCCCCCAGGGCTTAGAGGGGCCATAGAGAGCAGCTGAACACCTGCCAATGGGACAAGAGTCTCTGAAGGCTTAATGCCAGGATGTGAGATGCGGTTGTAGCTAGTGCAGGGCCACAGGTACCCTGAAAGCAGAAGTTTGAATCCAGCAAAAAGCCACTGGTCTGCCCCCAGGAATCATGGCATAGTCATTAAAATGGTGTTTAATGCATCATGTTCAGCACCTGTAGATCTCATATCACAAGCCCAGACACCCAAGTCTTGATATCTGTAAAAGTAAAACTGATAAACATTAGCCACTAATGGTAGCATGTGTCTGCAATTCCAGCACTGGGGAGGCTGAAACCAGAGAATGGTGAGTTCAAGCCCATCTTAGGACATATAACAAGATCCTGCTGCAAAACAGCAGCACAAAAAAAGCAAATGAAAATTGTATAGTATATTATGTGTTCATTGGCTACATCCTATTTAAGCATTACGAAATAACAAACTCTTGTTTTTCTGTATAATCAGATCATGTAAAGCCTATCTACATCACCACAGTAGAACGTCAGAACTCATCTGTTCAATCTTCACCCAACACCCATAAGGCTCTTCTCCAGTTGTGGGAGCATTTGCTGGCCAAGCACACATTGTGGAATTCTGTAACAAGTTGGCATCATGCTTGCCCCACAGAGATCATGAGGACCATACTCCACGAACTCATGAGATTCTGCTTGGATCTATGTCCCTCAAAAACTGACAGTAGACCCTGAGATCCTTGAAGTGCTCATGGTCCATCAAGACAAGGACAAGGTACCAAAAAGAGAGTGTGAGTTTCCCAATGGATGCAAAGTGCAGGGGGACTTCTGGTGCTTTTCCTCACTTAAGGCACATGGCCTCTCCCCTACTTTTGGGCTCCTTATATCTTAGAGATTGAAGGATAAATCCAAGAGACATTGACCAAATTGCTCCACCTCAGAAACTCTACATCCCAGGACTCAGAACCCATAATTCCCCCTTGGAGCAATGCCAGATCTCCAGACATCCCCAACTGTTCTGTGAGCCCTGATCCTACCATGGCTTCTGGGCAAGAAGCAGCCATAAACCACAGCTTCCTTCAGTTATCCAGATATAGCCATCAGACCACCCCCTCGCTCAATACTCAAGATGCCTGACTCTTCTCTCTTCAGTAGAGGACTATCTCCTATCCAGCTACTTCAGCCCTGCTTTGGTACCAGAAAATACCCATTTCCTCTGGCTCCTGACAACCTCTCCACTCAAGGCCAGAGAGGCTGCCTGTGGCCATTGCATACCCACCTACACAGACTAACTTTGGAACATCTACAGACTGCTTTTTCCAGATCATACTTGTTGATTCTCTAAAAGCTTCCCAACTTTCAGAATCCCTGGCCTGTTCCATGACTCCCAAGACCCTCTCTGAGGTGGTTTCTGATTTTTTTTTTTTTAGAGGTTGAAAATCATTCTCCAAAGCCCAGAGATTTCAAGGCTTCATTGGACATGAGAATGATAATATATGGAAATCGGATATAATGATGAAGCTTTTATATCTACATGGCTGGGCTACAAGAGCCCAGGTACTTAGTCAAACATTAATCTTGACATTTTTGTGGATAATTTTGGTGAAATTAATATTTAAACCATGACTTCAAATAATATAGATTTTCTTTTATGATATGGTGGCTTCATCTAGCTTGCTGGAGTACAAAGATTGAACAAGAAGAAACTTTGCTGGCTGATGGCTTTGAACATGAACATCAACTCCTCTGTAGGCTTCCGGCCTGACAGCCTCCTTCAGATTCTGAACTTTCCATCTTCAAGCTGTGGGCATCAATTCCTGACCACCATCTTAATCTTTCTACATGCACACATGCACTTGCAAGTGCATGCACGTGTGCGCACACATACACACACACACACACACCATTTTGTTTCTCTAGAGCATGCTGTTATTAATGAGCTATGTCATCTGATTTCCATGGAATGCTCGCTCACTCCAATCTGTTACAGATGGGCACATTGAAATGTAGGGGCTTGTAGTGGTACACTTCCTGCCCAAGCTAAGATGGAATAGAGGGCTCTAAGTCCAAAAACACCAAGCCTTTTAAGAGTCATGAATTTCTTGAAAATGTGAGGAAAGCCACAGAAAATCTTTCAGAAACAATGTATACCTCCATACAGTGCTGCTTCTGATTCCCAGGGCTCCACAGTTAACTACACATGTTTTAGTCTTGAATGTGGGGAGAGCAGGAAGTGTTCACATTCACCTCAGCTTCCCTGGTACACTGAATGCCACCTAAACATGATGGCACTCAGTGGCTTCAAGACTCACAGAGTTCAGTCCAGACACATGTTACTGATCAGAAGACAGGAGACATGAGATATTAGGTATGATCAAAGCCCTCTAGGTAGAGAGAATCACAGAAAGATCAAGTTTAAGTTCAAGATAGAAGACAAATCTATTCACTAATACCGATGCCCAAATTCCATGGGTACAGATCTGCAGGACTCACAGTGACCTAGGCAGACGGGTCATCATGGATGACCAACTCTTTCCACCTCACTGCCCTGCCAACACTACCTGAAAGTGATAAACCAAAACCCACAGCATGTGAAAAGGTCAAACCTGGGCTTGGCCTGAGCAGAGCCAACAGCATGGAACTAAAAGGAGAAACCCTTAAAGGAGATGTCTGGGCTACATGTGCTGAAGAAGATGATCACCAGAGGCCAATCAGAGCTCTTCAAAACATCTACGCCAAAAGCCACTAGGACACACATGGGTGTCATGTGTGAGCATAGAGAAGAAAGCAGACACCTCTCCCTGACACCTACTCTCTATGGTATGGATATGGCTTGCCCTCTAAAAGTTAATGTGCTCAAAGCTTTGTCCCTAGTGTGACAATACTGAAGATGGTGGTACCTTTAAAAGGTGGTGTCTAGGGACTGGGGAGACAGCTCAGAGGCTAAAGTGCTTGTCACACAAGAGAGAGGTCCTAAGTCTGAACCTCCAGAACCACATATACGCTACGCCCATCTATTCACCCAGCACTCTGAAGGTAGAAAGTGGGGATTCCTGGAGCAAGCTAGCTAGCTAGATGAGCTGAGTTGCCTAGGTCTGGGTTCAAGTGAAAGACCCTGCTTCAGCAATCAACTTCTGACCTCTATACACAACACACATTCATATGCCCACACACATATTGATATGCAAACCATAAGTGGAGTCTACTGGAAGATGATCAGGTAATTGTGGCATTCACCTATGGAATACTTTAGTGGGACGATACCATAGGACTGCATGGAGATCGTAATGTCTGTGAGGCCAAGGGTCCTAATATCCAAGGGCTATAACATTCAAGGGGCAAGGTCCCAAAGTTAGCATAAGGGTGTTAGACTTGTAGGGCCAAGGGTGCTAATGTCTAAGGTCTGCACAGGGATTTAAAACTGCTAAAACCAAAGGTTCTAGTGCCCAGGTTACCTGGGATGATAACATTTGTAAGGCCTACCTAATTTTACCATGCAGTGATACTACCCACTGAAGGAAATGAAAGTTACTAGATACCAGAATTTATAAAGCTTTTCTTGCCCAACCACAATCCTTATCTACATAGAACAAAAGAGTCCCAAGCCAGCTGATTCCTGGTCCCTACCTAGAACTTCTCAATGCAGGAGGCATAGCACACCACTGGCTTTCCCTAATGAGTCTGCCCAAACCAAGTATGCTGCATTATTTCCATTCCCAAACCTAGCTCTGCCCCCACAGAGCTCCTGCACTAGCCCAGCCTAAAGCGAGAACACACATCAAAACAAGAAAAGAAGTTCACATGCCCAGGTCATATCATAAAAAACAAACAATATGAAATATCAAGATAATCTGTTCCCTCCCTCTCCAAACCCACCCACTAAGCCTATAGAAATGTTCTCCAATGAGAATTGCTTAGATAATCCTCAGCATACAGAAATTAAAAGAACAATCAAAAATGGAAAACTTAAAAGAAATGAACAATTTTCTGCATAGATATCACATACCAAAACTGAAACAAGACCAGGTAAACAATTTAAATAAACCTATAACCCTTAGGGGTATAGAAGCAGTCATCAAAATCTCCCAATCAACAAAAACCCAGGGCCAGGTGGTTTCAGTGCAGAATTCTACCAGAAATTCAAAGAAGAACTAATACCAATACTCCTCAAATTGTTCCACACAATAGAAACAGAAGGAACATTGCCAAATTCTTTTTATGAGGCTACAGTTATCCTGATATACAAACCACACAAAGACACAATTAAGATAAAGAATTACAGACCAATCTCCCTCATGAACATTGATGCTAAATACCGAATCCAAGAGCACATCAAAAAAAATCATCCACCATGATCAAGTAGGCTTCATCCCAGAGATGGAGGGATGGTTCAACATATGAAAATCCATCAATGTAATCCACTATATAAACAAACTTAAGAAAAAAATCACATGATCATCTCATTAGATGCTAAAAAAAACCCTCCATAAAATCCAACACCCCTTCATGATAAAGGTCTTGGAGAATCAGGGACACAAGGAACATACCTAACCATAATAAAGTCAATATACAGGAAGCCAACCTCCAACATCAAACACATTTATCCACTCAGCTCTAGAAAGTGTACTTACTCCATTTGAAAATAAATGTGAAAAAGTCTTCAACAGTAATTAAGAGTTGCAAGTGCCAACCAGGTTTTTA